TGGCTTGCTTTGCTAAAGAAAAAAAAGGAAGTTAAATTAGACATCAATTTAAATATTTTACAGTTAAGTTTATTTTTGGAGCTGTTAATATTTATCTCCTTAAAACCTTGCTTTGGCTAATTCTGTGAGTAATAGGTTTTGTAACTCGAACTACCTAAAATAAGAAGCATTAATATAAACATTTAGTGTGATTCCATGTTACAGTTATTACCTATACACTAGTATCTAGTAAGAAGTCAGAGATCAGAATCCTGATAATCCTGCTATGTGAACATTCTTATTTGGGATGGAACTGAGGAGTACTGCCTAAGCTTTTATTATGTTGTCAGCGAAGATCACAAAGATCAGTGTGTTATTTTGTAATTTATAGTTAATATTTAGGTGCTACTGAGTCGAAATGGCCATTATTTAGTGTTTTTTCCCATCTTGAGTGCTGACATTGGTTTTTACTGCCAGCTGTTGGAAGTGCTAGGAACAAATAATCTGTGTTTTATGGCTCTCCTGTGTGGTGTTCCACAAAATTAAATTCAAACACTTCAATAATTTGAATTCTAAATAGATCGATACACTTATTGCTGGCATTTTCCACAGGAAAATTTAACAAAATGTTCTATATATTAGAAAATGTTTTCTATTAATGTATTTTATGGGTATTTTAAATACTTCCACCTTACAACATCTATGGCACTATTTTTATTTTTGGTGAATGAACTTCTGGAATTTACAGAGCACATTGAAGCCACAGTGATTAAAGATGGGTGTGGGAGTATGTTTAAGAGAGATGACCTCTGTTTCTCTGATCTTGGCTTTTATTGCTGGACTTGGAAGGTAGCTTAAAAATAGATGTTTGCTTTATAATTATTCATTAGGTCATACATGTAGATTTTATGTACTTTTTGAATATATAGTTCACAATAAATGTAAGTATTAATTTGTTCAATATAGAGATCCTTAAATGCTAAAATTTATTTGTATGGCAAGATTTTACAGCAAAATGTTAGTTGGTCAAAGGAAACAACGTTTTTAATGACTATAATTTTCTTTCCATGTTTAGTTTTATGTCTGGAATAGAAAAGATAGGAATTAATAGGCCTCTTATTTCCTAATTTCTGTTGATTTATCTATAAGGCTGCCATAAATAACAAAGGGAGGGTGTTTCTTTGTTGTTGTTTGTTTCGTTTTTAAATTACATCTGTGTGCCCAGTTGGTGTGACTCAATGGTTGAGCATCAACCTATGAACCAAGAGGTCACGGTTCAATTCCTGGTCAGGGCATATGCTGGGTTGTGGGCTTGATCCCCAGTGTGGGCCATGTAGGAGGCAGCCGATTAATGATTCTCTGTCATCATTGATGTTTCTCTCGCTCTCTCCCTCTCTGAAATCAATTTTAAAATATTTTTTAAAAATTACATTTTGTGGCTGACACAAGTGCAGAGTGAGATTTGGGAGTACAGGAATGAGAGGGCATTTAAAAATAAAACATGGAAACATTTATAGTTTAAAGTAGAAAGTTTTGCTGCCATTGTGAGGCTATTAATATATTCTTTGGAAGCCACAAAGTTTTTTTTGTACATAGAGCATGACATCTATACCTCAAGTTATATGTAAACAATATTTTTTTTACTTAAATTTTTTTTATTTAAATCATTTAAAATTTTCAATTATAGTTGCCATGCAATATTATATTAGTTTCAGGTATACACCCCAGTGATTAGACATTATATAACTTACTAAGTGGTCACCCCAATAAATCCTGCACCAATCTAACACCAAGCATAGTTATTACAATATTATTGACTATATTCCCTATGCTGTACTTGAGATCCCCATGGCTATTCTTAACAACCAATTTGTAGTTCTTAATCCCTTCACCTTTTCCACCCATTCCTCCCAACCCCCTCCCATCTGGCAACCATCAAAATGTTCTTTCCATCTATGAGTCTATTTCTGTTCTGCTGCTTTGTTTTTAAAGATTCATTTTTTGACAGATACGTATTTATTGCCTTTTTTGTTCATATTTTTTATCATCTTCTTAAAGAAGATCCTTTAACATTTCATATAATACTGGCTTGGTAGTGATGAACTCCTTTGGCTTTTTCATGTTTGGGAAACTTCATGTCCTTCTATTCTAAATGATAGCTTTGCAGGGTAGAGTAATCTTAGGTGTAAGTCCATGCTTTTTATCACTTTGAATATTTGTTGCCACTCCTTTCTGGCCTGCAAAGTTCTTGTTGAGAAATCAGCTGACAGTCTTATGGGAGCTCCCTTGTAGGTAACTAAGTGCTTTTCTCTTGCTGCTTTTAAGATTCTCTATTTGACTTTAACCTTCCACATTTTAATTATAATGTGTTATGGTGTGGGCCTCTTTGGGTTCATCTTGCTTGGGACTCTCCTCACTTCTTAGTCTTGTATGTCTGTTTCTTTCACCAAGTTAGGGAATTTTTCTGTCATTACTTTTTCAAATAGGTTTTTAATTTCTTGCTCTCTCTTCTCCTTCTGGCATCCCCATGATGTAAATGTTGGTACGCTTGACGTAGTACCAGAAGCTCCTTATAGTATCCTCATTTTTTTGGATTCTTTTTTCTTTTTGCTCTTCTGATTGGGTGTTTTTTGCTTCCTTATATTCCAAATCATTGATTTGATTATTGGCCTTACCTACCCTTCTGTTGGTTCCCTGTAAATTATTCTTTATTTCAGTTAGTGCATCCTTTATTTCTGACTGGTTCTTTTTTGTGATGTTGAGGTTCTCACTAAGTTCCTTGAGCATCCTTATAACAGTGTTTTGAATTCTGCATCTGACAGATTGCTATCTCTGCTTTGGTTCTTTTTCTAGTTTTGTTCTGTTCTTTCATTTTGGATGTGTTTCTTCATCTCCTCATTTTGGCAGACTCCCTGTGTTTGTTTCTGTGTATTAGGTAGAGCTGGTACGTCTCCCGAGCTTGGTAGAGTGACCTGTTTTGGTAGGTGCCCTGTAGAGTCCAGTGGCTCAGCCTCCCTGATTACCCAAGCTGGGCACTCCAGTTGTGCAACCACTCCTCCTATGGGCTGTGTAGATCCTCCTGTTGTAGTTGAGCCTTTATTGCTCTTAGCACATCAATGGGAGGGATTTAACACCCAGGCCAATCTGCTGCAAGGACTGGCTGCCACCACTGACCACTGTGGATGATCCTCTGTGCAGGGGTCCTCCCCACAGAGCAGGGCTTACTTCATTAGGGTTGTGGTACCCACTGAGTCTGCCCCCTTGATTGTGTCGCTGTGGAGGTGGTTGGGTGATGTTATGATGTGGTTTGACGCTGTCTACTAGGTGCACTGGCTCTGGGGCCTCCTGGGAGATACAGGCCTGCACTTAGAAATCAGGTCGCTGCACCACTACAGCCGTTGAAGATAAATTTCACATGCCCAAGGTTGGTCTGGGGCCGGCTCTCACCACCAAAGATGAGGTGGGACTGGAACCCCGACCTGCTACACATTAGCTGCAGCTGCACTCGCCCAGCTTCACAGCAACAATATTCTTTATTGCAACTTATAAATTGTGCAGTATTTTACTAAAGTACTTAGTATATGTTGTCCTATGACTTAACAAGAAAGGTTGTGTAAAGTTTTTTCCCCCCCTATAAACGAGGGTGTATAAATCTATCTGTAATGAACTTACATTCTTGCTTATGTACTCGTAAATTTTAAAAGGTAAATGCAGGTCATACTGAGTTTTGAAGGATTCAAACTAAGTACAGCAAATTATACTTATGTCATCTTTTCCTTCAGAGTTCATGTGAAGTTTTGAATTTTAAAAACAGTTACATCAGAATTTATTGTCTCCAAAATTGAGGTGTGTAATGTATACGTGTTTTTAACTAAAATAACAGTTTTTAAACTCATGAGAAATTAAAAAAAAATTATCATTATTGACAGAACATCAGTCAAAACTCAGAAAAAAAACAAATATAAGCTTGTATTAGATTCCCGAAAAAATAATTTCACACATATAAAGTAATGGCTAGAATAAATTTTCAAGTTTTTTTTAAAGGAAGAGCTGCTGGTTCTTTTAAAAAAATATATATTTATTGATTTCAGAGAGGAAGGAAGAGGGAGAGAGATAGAAACATCAGTGATGAAAGAGAATCATTGATCGGCTGCCTCCTGCACCCCCCCACTGGGAAATCGAGACTGCAACCCGGGCATGTGCCCTTGACCGGAATTGAACCTGGGACCCTTCAGTCTGCAGGCTGATGCTGTATCCACTGAGCAAAATTTAGTATGTATCCAGCTATAGCAAAATTTTCAAGTTTTGACTCATATCTTTATTATGTGATAAAAGTTAAAACATAATATGTTGAAATTACTAGGCAAAAATTCTAGCATAAATCATGTCATTAAATAGTGTAAAACACTCTAATTGTATGTTTATGCACACTTGATCATCAGTGTTTTCATACATAAGTGGTGTCTATGGACTTTCTGGCCTTTGGAGAGAAGCATACTATTATGGGCAGCTTATCCAATAACTGTATCAAATATAGTTTTTTGTGTATTAAAAATTTTAAAACAAAATTATTAGAGGATTATTTCTGTTTTCTCTCTCTCTCTCTCAAATCTCCCTTCCCCCCACCAGAATCTCTATAAACATTTCATGAAACATTAGTGTTTTTTAGAAGAGTTTGGCAAAAGCTGATGTAAGGTAAGAAGTTGTTGTAACCATTGTTTGAAATCAGAACATATTTCTTTAACTAATAACCAGTAAAGATTGTAATCTTCCATAATAGCCTTTTGTTTTCTTGGGTAATACTAAATGTATATAAACACATTACTTCTTAGCTTCCAGTTCCAAATTGAATTTCTTCATAGCTAATCTGTTTGCTGGATCTTTCTTCAAAGCTTAAAAGATTTAAAGTATCCTTGTTAAATTTGTCATAAGGAGCTTGTAGCAAATTCCTAATAAAATGAAAGCAGCCTAGCAGCCTTGAATGTTTCATAAGGCTACAGCTAATGTCTTTATCTCTCTAGATTTTGAACCTCTGGTTTGGAGGTCAGTGGAAATTTAAACGTTTGGGACTCTTTCCATTGGTGACTCACAGTCTCTGGAATCATAAGGTCTGCATTGCTTTACAGCTTGACTTAACTTAATTCATGAGAACTATAGGAGCCAAAAGAGAATGCATCAGGGTCACTAAAATGTTAAATAATAGATTCATATGAGATATGTGGATCCCCCACTCACCCGGTTTGGTTAATGTATGTTTTCAAATTGGAGCTTGTGTTGAGGGTCTCATGTTCATGATTTATTGTAAATAGTGCACATCCCATAGGACTAATTGCTGCAATTGGAAGTAGGCACCTGCTTGATAAACTTGCTAAGTTATTATGGATGACCAATGTTAGTTGACTTCTTTATGCATTAGGTCATTGATGAAAGTAGAGTTGTTATTTTTTGTTTGTGAAACACTGTTTGAGTTGTATTTATGTATTGGAGGATAAGGAGGATAGAAATTACAAATACCCCAAAGTGGAAATCCACTCAGTATAATTCCTCCTATATTTTAATAATGAAATTAAGGTGATACATTAATGTTCTTTAACTCCAACCTTATTCATTTGGTTCAGATAGTTATGAAGTCATTACTTTAAAATACTGCTGTGGCATTGATTATCCAGAAGTCTGTTCTGTTAGAGGGGTGATAGTAATTTCATGTTTAATCTTTCCCATGATTTATATCTCTGTCAACTGAGGTGGTCTTTTATTTTTTTTCCCAATTTGACATGATACCTTGATTTATAATTCCTGCTACATTAATTTACATTTATTCTTCTTATGCTCCTACTCATTAAAAATAAATTCTGTATTTCTTTTGGGAAAGCTCTAATGCTTTCATCTATTTGTAAGATCTCATTTAACAGTACAAGATAGAAATAATAAGAGGAAATAAAAACAATATAAATCTGTCTTTCAAATTTATATACTGTTTTAGTATGTAGCCTATATAAACAATACAGTAAACGTGCTCATAAAGACTGAACGTTCTTTATCGTCCTCTTGATGCAGAGAGTACACCATCAGTGTCATGATAGCTGAATCTGCTGAGGACTGAGCCAAAAGTCTTCTCCATATTTTATTGTTGGTACTAGTCATGAAATTTCCTAGCCATGGTAATGATTAATTAACTGCACAAGGCAGTCAGACTCTAAGCTGTGTGAGCAATTATTCTTTACATAACTTCTTTGTTAAAGAAGTTATTTTTTTAAATATATATTTTATTGATTTTTTACAGAGAGGAAGGGAGAGGGATAGAGAGTTAGAAACATTGATGAGAGAGAAACATCGATCAGCTGCCTCCTGCACACCCCCTACTGGGGATGTGCCTGCAACCAAGGTACATGCCCTTGACTGGAATTGAACCTGGGACCCTTGAGTCCACAGGCCGATGCTCTATCCACTGAGCTAAACCGGTTATGGCTGAGGAAGTTATTTGTGTGTGTGTGTGTTTAAATATATAAATATATTTTTATTGATTTCAGAGAAGAAGGGAGAGGGAGAGAGAGATAGAAACATCAATAATGAGAGAGAATCATTGATTGGCTGCCTCCTGCATCCCACCCTTACCCCCACTGGGAATGGAGCCCACAACTCAGGCATGTGCCCTGATGGGGAATCAAACCGTGACTTCCTGGTTCATAGGTCAACGCTCAGCCACTGAGCCATGCTGGCTGGGCTGAAGAAGTTTTTAATAAGCTGAGTGGCATAGTACCTTGTTGTCTCAGATGCTCTTTGACACATGAAAAGTGCTATAAAAAGACATTTGCTGCAACGAGAACCATTTCCAGCATAGTGAAATATGGAATATTTTTAAATGCACTCCCAAGTGATGCTGTTGGTCTAATCTGTCTCAGCCCTGGGAAGCCCAGCTCAAAGATACACAAAATGTGTTAATCCCTTCAGACTGCGTGATAAATAAACAACAGAAATTTATTTCTTATAGTTCTGGAGGATGGCAAACTCCAAGATCAAGGCCTTGGCAGATTCAGTCTCTGGTCTCTTTTAGAAGGGCACTAATCTCAATCATGAGGACTCCATGCTCATGACCTAATCACCTCCCAAAGGACCCACTTCCTAATAGCCTCCCATTAGGGATTAGGTTTCAACATATGAATGTTGAGGGGGACACAATTATTCAGGCTGCAGTACAAGGGCGCTTTCATTGGGAGTGGAATGTTAAAAGTACTTACTGTCATAGTTCACTGGATTGAGCAGCCTTAAACGGGTTCTTTCCCCAGAGTTGACTTCTGACTCCCTTTACAAACTTTTCCTTCTTCCTGGCCTGCTGCTTAAGTTGCAGGCCATTTTGGCTTCAATTCACTTGCAAACTCTTATTCATTAAGGGCTTAGCTCTATTTGCTTCCAGACTTCTCCTACCCTGTAGGTATTTAAGTGTGCTGAAACATCCTATTTGATTATTTGTGGTAGAGACTGTGGTGATGCTTGTTACTGGAGGTTTACTATGTACTAAATACAGTGTGTTTTATCATTTAACTAGAGGCCCGGTGCACAAAAATTTGTGCACTCGGGGGGGGGGGTGTCCTCCAGCCCGGCCTGTGTCCTCTCACAGTCTGGGACCCCTCGGGAGATAACGACCTGCTGGCTTAAGCCTGCTCCCGGGTGGCAGAAGGCAGGCCCAATCCCTAGGTGCAGCCCCTGGTCAGGCTCAGAACAGGGCCGATTGGGGAGTTGGGGCGCCGCCCTGTCATGCACAGAGCAGGGCGGATCGGGAGGTTGTGATGCCACCCTCAGTCACGCTCAGGATAGACTGATTGGGGGGTTGGGGCACTGCCCCCTGTTACACTCAAGGCAGGGTCAATGGGGAGGTTGCGGTGCCACCCCCTGTCACGCACAGAGCAGGGCCGATCAGGGGGTTGAAGCGCTGCCCCCTGTCACTCACAGAGCAGGGTCCATCAGGGGGGTTGGGGTGCTGCCCCCTGTCACTCACAGAGCAGGGCCCATCAGGGGGTTGAGGAGCTCCCCGCTGTCACTCACAGAGTAGGGCCGATAGGGGAGCTGGGACACCGCCCCCTGTCACACACAGAGCAGGGCGGATCAAGGGGTTGGGGCGCTGTACCCTGTCACACTCAGGGCAGGAGCCAATGGGGAGGATTGTGAGCTCTACCCTGTCACACACAGAGCAAGACCCGTGGAGGGGAGATTGGGAGCGCCGCCCTCTATCACCCACAGAGCAGAGCCGATCAGGAGAGGTTGGGGTGCCGCCACTGTCACACTCAGGCAGGGACAATGGGAGAGGTTATGGCTCTACCTGTCACACACAGAGCA